TCGTTGTAATGTAACCTACAGCGAGGCGGTAGCACTTGTACAAAGGGACAAACTATCGGTGAGTTGGACAGCTTTGACATAACAGTCATTCTTCCTTGCTCAATCTCCGGACAGCTAGCCATTTAGACCTTGTTAGCTCTCCTCAGGGCAACTCAGAGTTACTGGTCGAACTGGTCACAATGAAGTCAAGTGACTGATACAGCATTGACATGCTTCCTTATACTGGAATATAGGGATCGCTTGCAAAAATGTATTGTTTTGTCTATCCGTAGTAGTGGCAATGATTTCACCGCCCATCGTAGTGCTCTCAAAGTCCAGCTCGGTGATGGTAAATTTCTGAAATGCTCCACCGGTTGCTGTACGGTGTGCTGCAGTTGTGTGACTTTGGCAGTACGAGTATGTCACAGAACCTGACCCACTCACGCAGTTCCCTGAGGATATTGCAGTTTTAATAGTGAAATTACATTAATTTTATAAATGCAGAGTACCCCAATGGTGTAGCGCAGAAGAGCTGAACCAATGCATAAATAATACTTAGGCACTGATAGGAGACTCCCTCGATTTAGGCTAAAGCCTGTGGAGAATCCGTTAAAATACAAATACAAATCTGCTCAATCTGCGGACAGCATGCTGTTTCGTTCTTTGTGAACTCATCAGCGCAGCACAGAGGAAATGAGGCCGAACCTGATAGCAATGAAAATAAAAATTTCCAATCAGGCCCGAACGTACCTTGCCAGAGTGCTCAAACTGACAAGTCAGTGAGCTCTGCGTATCTGTGTTTTTTTAGTGGAAAGCTACTTGAAACCCCCGAAAGGTAATACAGGTACTTATTCTAGTTGGACAGACCGGCGTACACGATTGTGTATCTGCATGGCTGTTTTTAAGTGTGTTATGCGGCCTGTTGACTTTCTCTGCTTTGCGCTTGTGTGCGTTTCAGACGCTCCTTGAGCATGACCAGTTGACAAATGCCATGAACACTGGTAGGTGCTGCTGCTGCTGCTGGTTCTACGGCTGTTTTCCGGGGTTTGTTTTCCTTCGTTCACAGCTGATGGCTTTTCCAGGGCTGGCACTTGTCTGTCGGTAGAATGATCTAAAGGGAGTCGGTCGGGGGTCGAGGGGTAAGGGGCAGTGCCCCTGTAGGATTTCAAGCTGCCGAAACAACGGATCGCAGTGCGTGGTTGAAGCTGCATGATGCACTAGTACTAGTAGTAGTGAAGGCAGCCCAGCATGTGACTGGCTCATAGGAACTTTGCAGAGATTGGTCTCAGAGTACTGTTGCATACTCTTGGATGTGGCCTCTTGATATCAGCAAGCACAGCAAGGTGCCCCTGCGTGTAAGAGAAGAGTTTCTGTGCAAGCTGTGCTCACTGCCTGTGTACTGGCGGAATAACGATAACATAGCAAAGGAATTGTTGTTGATGATTGACAGTGATCGATGGCAGAAGGATTCTCAGGGGGTCGTAACTTGTAAGTAATCTTACACGCACGCACGCACACACACACACACACACACACACACACGCACACACACACACACACACTGAAAAAAGCAACCAGAGAAGTAAACGCAACCGTGTCAAGCATTGCACTCCCACTCGGTAGCGGGCTAATCAAGTTTCACCGATTTAGTCATCTGTTGTACTGCACACCCAGTCCTCACAGGAACTCCCCATACTCTTTCATTGAAGAGATACTAGTACCGGATTTTCCGGAGTTCAAGCCGCACTCGCAATTCAACTAAAAAAAGTCAGTGCGGCCTATACTACGATGGTCGAATGAGTGGTGATGTACATGGTGGATGTGTGTATTTCGTGACAAAAATCTGGGTGCAGGTTATACTCCGGAAAATTCTGGACTACATGTATATTGGAGAGTTCCTGCTCAGCTTCCCAGGCATTTTTCTTGTGCATCGTGTGGCTGTAGGTGACGTGTTTGACGGGTTCGAGGAGATGGAGATCACGTTTCCTCCGACGTTCAAGTTTGACGTCAACTCGGATATGTACGACTCGTCGACAAAGCAAAGAACTCCTTCATGGACGGTCAGTGTGATGATAGAGATTACAGAAAAGTAGATCATTGGAGAGGTTTTAAGCTGCAAGTTATTTTTGACGTGACGCGAAAGTTCAGCTCGCGTTATTTGGCTCGCGTGTTGGAAAACAACGCGAGTGACCTGCACCTCACGTCGAAATTTGGAGTTGTACGCCAGATTTGACGTGAAATTGCGTGTCACGTCAGAAATAACGTGCAGCTTAACGTCTCTATTGTTGCAAACCCAATCTGTCATCGCCCAAAGCTGTGGTGATGATAATGCAGCAAGAAGCAAAGCAGTTGTACAGACATGTTCCCTTGTAAGTTCGTTTTACCTCTTGCTGGCTGCTGTATTACTGGTGTACTTGTTGAGAAGTGGGAGTATAGTGCTGTACTGTATTTCACGCGTTGTTGACGTGTGGACTAGTTGGGCAGGAATGTCGACGAATGGGAAATTGGGAATGCACGTCGATAAATTTACGCATCATTCGTTGCACACTGCACTTCGAGCCTGTTGCATAGAGGAACCGGGGAGGAGAGGGGGGGGGGGGGGGGTGTTGTGCTTACATAGTGTGTCAGTGCTTGCTTAGGGAACAGCACTCTAACACTGTCCCTTGTGCTGTTGTGCTCTCTCTCTCCCGTCTCCAGGATCGTGTGCTGTACACGTCGCGGCCGTCCACCCGTGTCGAGGGCCTGTTTTACGGTTGCTGTCAAGACGTGTATTACTCGGATCACAGGTGAGCCCCCTCTTGTTATTCTCAGGAGGCTCTCCAGCCTGGTGTGTTGCCCCAGCCCCCTCTTGTTATTCTCAGGAGGCTCTCCAGCCTGGTGTGTTGCCCCAGCCCCCTCTTGTTCATGATTCTCAGGAGGCTCTCCAGCCTGGTGTGTTGCCCCAGCCCCCTCTTGTTATTCTCAGGAGGCTCTCCAGCCTGGTGTGTTGCCTCACCCCCCTCTTGTTTTTCTCAGGAGGCTCTCCAGCCTGGTGTGTTGCCCCAGCCCCCTCTTGTTATTCTCAGGAGGCTCTCCAGCCTGGTGTGTTGCCCCAGCCCCCTCTTGTTATTCTCAGGAGGCTCTCCTGCCTGGTGTGTTGCCCCAGCCCCCTCTTGTTATTCTCAGGAGGCTCTCCTGCCTGGTGTGTTGCCCCAGCCCCCTCTTGTTATTCTCAGGAGGCTCTCCAGCCTGGTGTGTTGCCCCAGCCCCCTCTTGTTATTCTCAGGAGGCTCTCCTGCCTGGTGTGTTGCCCCAGCCCCCTCTTGTTATTCTCAGGAGGCTCTCCAGCCTGGTGTGTTGCCTCACCCCCCCCCCCCCTCTTGTTATTCTCAGGAGGCTCTCCAGCCTGGTGTGTTGCCCCAGCCCCCTCTTGTTATTCTCAGGAGGCTCTCCAGCCTGGTGTGTTGCCCCAGCCCCCTCTTGTTCATGATTCTCAGGAGGCTCTCCAGCCTGGTGTGTTGCCCCAGCCCCCTCTTGTTATTCTCAGGAGGCTCTCCAGCCTGGTGTGTTGCCTCACCCCCCTCTTGTTTTTCTCAGGAGGCTCTCCAGCCTGGTGTGTTGCCCTAGCCCCCTCTTGTTCATGATTCTCAGGAGGCTCTCCAGCCTGGTGTGTTGCCCCAGCCCCCTCTTGTTATTCTCAGGAGGCTCTCCTGCCTGGTGTGTTGCCCCAGCCCCCTCTTGTTATTCTCAGGAGGCTCTCCTGCCTGGTGTGTTGCCCCAGCCCCCTCTTGTTATTCTCAGGAGGCTCTCCTGCCTGGTGTGTTGCCCCAGCCACCTCTTGTTATTCTCAGGAGGCTCTCCTGCCTGGTGTGTTGCCCCAGCCCCCTCTTGTTATTCTCAGGAGGCTCTCCTGCCTGGTGTGTTGCCCCAGCCCCCTCTTGTTATTCTCAGGAGGCTCTCCAGCCTGGCGTGTTGCCCCAGCCCCCTCTTGTTATTCTCAGGAGGCTCTCCTGCCTGGTGTGTTGCCCCAGCCCCCTCTTGTTTTTCTCAGGAGGCTCTCCTGCCTGGTGTGTTGCCCCAGCCCCCTCTTGTTATTCTCAGGAGGCTCTCCTGCCTGGTGTGTTGCCCCAGCCCCCTCTTGTTATTCTCAGGAGGCTCTCCAGCCTGGTGTGTTGCCCCAGCCCCCTCTTGTTATTCTCAGGAGGCTCTCCCGCCTGGTGTGTTGCCCCAGCCCCCTCTTGTTATTCTCAGGAGGCTCTCCTGCCTGGTGTGTTGCCCCAGCCCCCTCTTGTTATTCTCAGGAGGCTCTCCTGCCTGGTGTGTTGCCCCAGCCCCCTCTTGTTATTCTCAGGAGGCTCTCCTGCCTGGTGTGTTGCCCCAGCCCCCTCTTGTTATTCTCAGGAGGCTCTCCAGCCTGGTGTGTTGCCCCAGCCCCCTCTTGTTATTCTCAGGAGGCCGAGTCTCCAGCCTGGTGTGTTGCCCCAGCCCCCTCTTGTTATTCTCAGGAGGCTCTCCAGCCTGGTGTGTTGCCCCAGCCCCCTCTTGTTATTCTCAGGAGGCTCTCCTGCCTGGTGTGTTGCCCCAGCCCCCTCTTGTTATTCTCAGGAGGCTCTCCTGCCTGGTGTGTTGCCCCAGCCCCCTCTTGTTATTCTCAGGAGGCTCTCCAGCCTGGTGTGTTGCCCCAGCCCCCTCTTGTTCATGATTCTCAGGAGGCTCTCCTGCCTGGTGTGTTGCCCCAGCCCCCTCTTGTTATTCTCAGGAGGCTCTCCAGCTTGGTGTGTTGCACCTGTAGGTCGCACGTAAAATGTGGGGGTTGGGGCTGCCCGATTCGAGCTTGCGCTCTTCATGCGGCTGAAGACCTTGCCTATGGCTTTGCATGACAGTTGTGGTATTATTCACAATAATGCACGCGTATACTGTGTATTTCGTGGAAGAGAGTGTTTCTTCGACCAGACCGATAACGGTCATCACTGACAGTGTGCATGTGTAATGCGGGAGTTAACCCTCTTGAAAAGACACTCCAGCCCTTAAAGAATTTACTAGCCACAATCTAGGATTTCAATGCTATACGTGCATGGCCAGATTTGAATCTTTTGCTTACGTGTGTGTATGTGTGTGTGTGTGTGTGTGTGTGTGTGTGTGTGTGTGTGTGTGTGTGTTTGTACGCATGGTGCCGGCTTATTCTTCTTCTCAGACCGGTGTTTGCCCTGTTTCGCGTTACAATCCGACCGCCTGCTTGTGATTATTTGAAAATGAGGTGAGCCTGACATGCCGTGTGGAGTGGGTGTTGTGTGGACTGCTGTGGCGTATGTGCATTTGAAGTACTTTTTGAAGATAACAGCATGTTGTAAGGTGGAGATGATGTCATCTTCAAGACATGTTTTAACCTATCAAGCAAGGAGTACCATATTATGCCATTTGAAGTACACACGAGTCCACGCAACCGCAGCTCCCCGAGTGTATCATTTGAAGTACATATATTTCCAGTTTTTATACGAAATACTTCAAGCGCAACTGCAATATGTGTCTTCCTTGTGTTCTAAAGGTACACGGAAGACCCGCATTGCCGTTGTTTGCTTCAGTTTATTGCATTGCCTTCAATAACGGTACATCCAGCAATGCCCAGTATCCACCCCTGGTTTGTCATAACCATTTACGGATCATCCGGAATGTGCACACATGCATGCAGGTACACACACACACACACACACACACACACACACACACTTGTACTTGTACTTGTACTTGTTGCTCACTGCCAAACTGGTCACGTGGGTCTCCCCGGGAGAGGGGAGAGAGACTCAAAAAGGAATCTCAAAAAGGAATCTTGGAAAGATGACTCAACTGGCTATTGAACACACACACACACACACACACACACACACACACACACACACACACACACACACACACACACACACACACACACATGTACATACGTCATACACACATGCACACAATTGCGGATTTGTCGCAATGTCTATGGATGCTCTATTTTGTGATCTGTGTTGTGCTTGCAGTACATGTCCTACAATCGGACAGTTCAACCGTAGTGTCTATACTGAAGGTGAGTGCTTGCTTACATCTACATCCAATTGCGATGCCGGTCTTCAGTTTTGGAGCGAGTTGTGCTAGCTCCGAAGAGAGAGAAATTGTGATCTGTGTGTGCTTTTGCAATGGATGCAACTACAGTGCGTTTCAAAAATATATACACGTGATTTCGAAAAACCATTAGGCCAGCATCTATACCACATAAAGTCTGTGATAACTTTGTGCATAAAAATTTGGAATCATCACATAGACTTGATGATACCACAATTGGGTGTTTGTTATCCGATCGCTTAAAAATCTATACGAGAGTAATTGGAGGGAGGACCTGAGCAATATTCTGAAAAAATTCTCGAAAGCTCCAACCAAATGTGAAATATTTCAAAAAGACCATGCGTCTATATTTTTGAAATGGACTGTGCAGTACGTTCTATTTCAATCATTAGTTCCATCCTCGATCCAGTTCGAATATCCAGAAATTTTAGGTCAGAGGCCAAGACTGATGATGAGAGTCGTGTAGGCTCTGCAGTGTCGCTCACCGTTGCATGTACATGTATTTCGAAGTAGACTTTTGGTGCTGGAGGAGGCCCGAAACGGCTATGTATTGTAGCGCTTGCTGTATTGGTGGCAATCACCGTCGTCAAATTGCTCCGCTCATGAGAGGTGCTCTCCTTGATGGTCTCGTATGCATGTAAGTCGGGCACACCAGCATGTCGTCTGTCCGTTTTAGAAGCGGCCATGTATATTCTTACTCGCAACCCGGTTCAATGCAAACAGAATAATTTGTTGCAGCCCTCACAGTTTTCACGTAGCATACAAGCACCCACATGCCCTCCCACCCACATACATACATGTACAGTGTTGCTCAATGAAATCCAGTCTCGTCACTCAAGTATGCGCCTTGCACCATTTCGCAGCCCAGAGTTCGCCGGTCTGGGGCTGCGCAACGCGCGGCGGGCGCGTACTTGGGTGACGCCACTGGATTTCACTGAGCAACACTGTAGTTTTCTCGCTTGCACGTCCACACTCCGCACATGCTAACACCGCTCACTCGCCGTGCTAACAAGCATGTGTTGTTTGTGTAAATTGTAATTCTTAATTTATTAACCCCTGCTAGGTAACACAAGACGTCTGGCAAGGCTAACGGCGGCAAGCAAAGGCAGAACGGATTCTGAAAGTACTGTATGCACAATTCTTTGATGGCCAAAGGGCCATTAACGGCAAATAGCGGCAATCCGATGAACCCCGCAGTTGCCCGCGGCTTATCATTCCGTGCTATCTAGCGTCCGTCGACCAGCCCGTACCTCAGGACGGATGTGCAGTGCCCTCGTCTTTGTGGACAGCATGGCTAACGCTCCTTGTACACTCCTGTCTATATCTACCGTGCACACTTTCTGTCAGGTCAGTCCGAATCTAAACACCTGCACTTGATTTATTTACCCGCCGTGCGTTCATAGAAAGCTACGGAAGTTGGTATGCCAGTGGACCTCCAAGTTGGAGTGCAATACCACAGTGCCATGTGGGTATCCACTGGCACTGGAGCTGGCCAAGAACCCTGCAGTGCTGCACACTGAACGCCGAGCTATCCCCTCGGTTCTTTGTCGTGCTCACTCGCGTGTATTGTCGTTTCTGTCTTGTGCACGCGCGGCGCTCGACTTTGGCCACATGTGCGCAGGTGCGTGTGCAAAGCAGAAAGGACATCATCACATGTTTGAAGTAAACAGGGTGGATGAAGTTCCGAAAGCACTAGTGAGTCCACACCTCGTCCCGTCATCGAACGCACACAGTGCTTGCTATCAAGGTATCGCTGAGTGCCCAATGCTCGTACTCTTCTAAATCCAATTTCTGATCAGATCTATTACACCATCCACAAAGTATCACATTTCACGCTTAACACATACCAGATTAACGTATCAGAGACATTACCTACAGGCGCCCGATGGTGTTGTATTTATAACGTTTTCGTGAAGGCAACCTTTGTCTATTTATTAGCACTGATCATGGTCTGCTCAGTGCTCTAGCACAAAACAATTCTTTCGCTTGTCAGTTTTGTTGTAAGGGTCGGAATGTGTAGCAATTGCAAAACTACCTCTTCCTTCATACTATTATTTGTTTGGTGCAGCGTACATTGGCGTGCGTTGCTCATCGCATGCCGGCAGTTGAAAAGTTTGTTCGTTATGGAGATGAAACTTAACCATCAGAACAACAGAAGTGATGTTGCATTGTGAATGATTCTCCATGCCACAGTACTGGTTTGTAATAGCTGGGTGGGCATCCCTTGCTTGAAAAAGTGAGCGGAAATTTTGTTGGGGTGGTCTAAAATTAGAAATCGTGCCATGAATCTTTCTATAATGTGGTTGCATCGTAGTTACCGTGTCCTGTTCCTGTCGGTACTGTTGAACCGAGTGGTGTCAGTGATTAGCCAAGGAATGTTGCACTATTCGCTGATACAACTCACCTGCTTTGGTCTCTGAAGCTGGATGACGCTTGCGCATTGACATGTCGCCGGAGAAAGGCTGCACTCTGCTCATTCTGCACGTGAACACAACGAGTTCACCCGTCAACTAGCTGTCAATACGCGTGCGTGTCGTGAATGAATGGCAACTGCTGGCGCTGAGCAAGCTCTCATTGCTGGTGACTTCATGTCCCTGAGGGCTAGTAGTAAGGGCAAACGCCAGAGATGTCTTGTTATCTCCCATCACTTGGTAACATTGATAGAATGCGGCATGTCTCTACCAAAGGGCCAGGCTGCTAGCAGTACTGACGTTATACCATGGCATGGGTCATGTCCGTGCTACGGTTTGCCAATGCAAACAAAAAGCAAACTGATTACCTCCCCTTCGTTGCCTTCTCTTTCTCCCCCCCCCCCCCCTTGTGGGCAACAGCACTGTTTGGTGTGATGGTATATGCAAGCAGGTGTCGACAAGTTCATGTACTGACCTCTTTACTCCGTATTTTGCCATGCATAATGGTTTCAACACCGCTGCACTGTATTGTGGACATGTATTCATGTTGAAGTCTTGGCGTTCTATTTCGCAATAATTAGTCGCTAGTCAGCGATTCAATCAAGTCCTCCACGCCACCGCATGAACTGAGTTGAGTAAGTTAGTTGAGGATCTCAGCAGATCACGACCAGCAGAGAGCATTGGCCAGAAGCGGTATACTGTTGTGTGATCCAACTTCTCTGAGAGTCGGTCCCGAGTGATGTTGCCTGTCAGCAACGGTTCGAGAATCGGGGAGTGAGAAAAAGTTCGTGGGGGATCGTTGCAGTGCGTGTGTGTACAGGTGTCTAAGGGAGTGAGAACCAGGGCGTAGTACAGGTGTCTAAGGGAGTGAGAACCAGGGTGTGAGAACCAGGGTGTGAGAACCAGGGTGTGAGAACCAGGGAGTGAGAACCAGGGTGTGAGAACCAGGGTGTGAGTAGTACAAATACCGGTATTGTACATGTACTACTCACTTTTGAGAACCTAACACAAAGCATCAGTCCATGTCCGATGGTGTCCCCCGTGTGGGCCATGCATTGCCGCGGATATTCTTACTACTCCGTTCATCATAAGTGTGTTGAGCAGGCAAGTCAGTAATGTAAAGGGACCTGAAAAGTAGACTTACAGTGCAGTAGAACTATAATACAATGTCCCCCCCCCCCCTGGGTACAATGTCCCCCCCCCCCCCCCCCTGGGTAGCAGGAAAGAGAACTACAATACAGTAAAACCTGTGACTAGCGACCAGCCTGGTACTACAGACCACTTCATCAGGCATGGGCGGTCTCACATTCATATATTATGGCTGTGCGGTGCAAACCTCTAACTAAGGACCACCTGCCACTAAAGACCGCTTTCTCTGGCCCCAAGGGATCAGTGGTCGTTAGTCACAGGTTTTACTGTACTTAGTTTCCAAGGTGCTTCTTATCCCAGTATACTTCAGCATGGATCAATACACCTGTGCTCTCTGTACAATGTCCGTACTAAGCAAGAGTATATATTATCAGAGTGCATGTACTAAGTGTGTCTCCACTGCATGTCTGTGAGATATTGCATACGATCACCAGACAGCCTCGCTCTCTATCTCTCTCTCTCTCTCTCTCTCTCTCTCTCTCTCTCTCTCTCTCTCTCTCTCTCTCTCTCTCTCTCTCTCTCTCTCTCTCTCTCACTCTCTCTCTCTCTCTCTCTCTCTCTCTCTCTCTCTCTCTTCTGATTTTCCTTTCTCCATTCTTGATTATCACCAACTCCTCTCTCGCATTTACCTGAGTTTACAGTCTTCTCCTTGTACCTTCTTGCTTTCCCGCACTATCTCTTTTCGCTGTACACTAGCTACGTTGCTGGCGATCCGCCATGGCAACGCTCGTACATTGATTTGCTGGCCGCATGCTTCACTGCGTTGTTCTTTGAGTTTTCTCCATCGAGACAAGAGAGAAATATTTTCCTTACAATAATGAATCTTCGAGTCTGATTCTAGAAATTGTAAAATGTCGCGCTGAATCAATGTATTAGGATGATTACTGACACCCGTCCAATGACAATTACATGTAATGTATCTTGTATGTTAAATGGTGAAGCATTTTGTCATGTTTCACGGCTCCAGCCCATGCTGAGAAGTCAGCCATGCAGCTACGCGTGACCGCTCTATGGTATCATCTCTTCTGGCCTAGGCCTAGGGGCATGCAGCGGCAACCTCTCTGATCAACAAGCTTCAGTCATCTCAAGTTGATGCCTGATGAATTAAACACATTTAGATATGTTGCATGAATACGCACTACTGGTGTTGTCAGCACAATGGATCAACTGGTCAGCGAAGTGTTATCATCACTGAGAGCAGCTATACTTCATGGCAACACCTCACTGACGGTTCTTACTTTTGCTTGGCATCACCTTGGCTGCAGCCTGGAGCAAGTTCAATTGTCTCCAAACTGAAGTCTACCCACCGGAGTAACTTATTCTGTGCTGGATGCTGATGCGTTGTTCTGTCTTGGCTACTCTGAATGCAGTGGACTGACAATGCAGTAGTAGTGCTACCAATGTGCATGTTGTGTTCATCAATCATTATCAGCGGCTGGCTGGATGAGTTAGCAGTGAGCTTAGTAGGTGGTATGATAACACAGCATGACTCAGTTGCGCTCACACTCCTGTCAGTATTACATTGTAGCTGACACGGGCGGTGAAGATTTCTGCAGAAACGAGAGAAGAAATGCACAGATAAGACAATTTGGCATTGCAATGCTCCACTAAACGAGCAGATAACTGGGCATTCTTCTCGACAGGAGTTGTGTTACATACAGATACAATAAAAATGTGAGATGATCGTCAATCAGTGATCAATTGATTCAGACCGGTTCTGTATGTGATGCTCAAGGAAGCTGGGGTGTCATGAGTCTACTAATAACACATGCCAGTGTTTCTCTGGGTGGTGCGTAATGCAATTCGTGGTGTTCTTCTAGATTTCACTCGATCCGCAGGCAAGCTGTGCTAACTGTAAAGTTGTAAACGTTCCATTTATCCCAGTTACAGTTCTCTACCGGCAAATCTACTTGAACTTCGGTTCATGATTTTCTCGATCACCATGCCGACAAGCACATGCATCGGTCAATACGGTTCGCGTGGAGTTTATACCGTGATCACAACCACAATCCCACCGGCTGCCAGTTATTTGTACATGTGCACACAATACCTGGAGGGTGGGAGCGATTGATTCACGGCCGTTCACTCAGCAATAGTGTGGTCCAACGTGTACGCGTTCCAGTACTCACTTGACCTGCCGCTATCTGCCTAAACAGCCTGTCACATTGGGTTGCTTGTCAGCTGAAACAACGTCAATGACAAGCTATTTCTGTCCACCAGTTGTCAGTTGTCATGAGTGACATGACAACCTGTCAGATCTATTTTCCCAGGAAACCGTGCTAATCTCCACCTCAAGAACAAAGGCAGGGCATGCAACAATGCACAATGGCCATGGACTCATCATCCGTGATAGCCTCGCGAGGTCGTGCTGCTGCTCCCCCCCCCCCCCACTCTCTCTCCTGTTTGCATGTCAACTTCTCCCAGGTGACTGTGTCACCATCACGCATGACCTTATGGGGCAGTGATTTTTTGCGCGTTGACAGGGTTGGTGAATACAATGTTGGCTAGTTGTGTGCCTGCGGCGAAAAACTTCAGAACGGGAACCAGGGTCATGCTTGCAAGGAGAAACATGGCATTCTGTTCATTGTTGTGGGGACTTGTGGGTTTCTAGTGTGGGAACCAGTACAGGGTTGACACTTCGTGCAGTGTCAACCATGTTCGTTTTCGGACACACACGTGCGTGTACGCGTGAGAGAACAGGTTCACAGTGGTGATTTTCTTACGGTCAAGCTGCCGACGACCGGAATTTAGTCTATTTCCATGTTGTGCATTGACAAGCAGAAGATAATATCATCTTAGTATTATTTATTGGTTGACCTTGTGTGCCTATCATCATACACATTGGCATTCCTAAACCCTACATCCAGCCCATGTATTACCACGACCATGGCCGGCATGAATTCTTTGCAGTAAATTTACGCTACACGCATGCTTCGCGAATATCTTTTCCTGTCTTACTTTGTTGCATGTAGTAACCTTCATTGGCATTCCACAGTCCACCAATACTTCCTGGCCCGCCACGGTGTGAACACTAGTGTCCTGCAGGCTGCAGTGCAAACACCGCGAGGCTGAGGGAGCTCAAACCGGGCACTGAACTGGACTTGTCGCCAGCAGTGATATTGACAAGAAGCTAGTACTGGCTGGTGGGGACGTACGGGGATCGGTGTGTAGCGCTTTCTCGGCATGCACACGCCAGCTTCTATCCTGTGTAGTCCCACACACGCTTCCTGCTGGGCTATGGCTGTGTTTACATGAGAAATTTCAACCCGGGTCGAGTTCAGCCCGGGTTGAAAGTCTGTACGATAGACAAAAGAGGTGAGCGTTTACATGAAGACAGTTGACCCGGGTCAAATACTGATATGCCGCCAAAAGTCCACTTCTACAGTCCTCTATGGTCACGTGAATCCGTTCGCGCGAAATTTGCATGTGCAGTGCTGTTCAAACCTGGCGCGAGATACGCACAGAAGTACGTTTGTACGATTTTCTTGACCCGGGTTGGTTTCAACCCTCCCCTTGGGGGGAGGGTTGAAATCAACCCGGGGCGAAATTTCAACCCGGGTCAAGCGCAATGCGTCATGTAAACGCGCCATTCACTTT